CTCAGTTTGGTCACTTTAAGACTAGTTGAGTAAGGTTATAAAATTCCAGAAGTTGAGAAACCTAAATAAGGCATCCAAAATCCAGCAGAGTGTTGGCTTCAAAGGGACAGTAGGTTACTGGTGGTAAGATGACCCACATAACCGCTGAGCCTCAGAGCTGTACTCAGGTGGCAGAGAGAAGGGTGTGGAGTGAAATAATGTGCCATCTTGTCATAAAAATCTTTTCTGGCTTCAGAGAGAAATTTGTCTGGAGGGACATTTCTAGGGGAAATTAAATCTTTCTTTGATGCTGTCACCAGAGCTCTGGACTGTGATACATTTGACACCCTGAAGCTAAAGCAGCGACAAAAGCCAGAGTATCCAGAGTTAGGCTTTAGGTTCTGCCTTAGTTCCTGGGACTGTTGTAACAAAATACCACAGAGTGGGTGCTTTAGAGAACAGTTTATTTTCTTACAATTCTGGAGATTAGAAGTCTAAGTCAGGGGATCAGCCATGTGGGTTCCTTCTGAAGCCTTTGAGAGAGAAACTGTTCCATGCTTCTCTCCTAATTTCTGATGGCTGAATATAAATATAATTATAAATGTAAATACAGATAATTCGTGTGTACTTACTAGTTGTTATTTTAAGAACTGTATTTTAATAGAAAAATGTGTCTTAAATTGTGTTGTGATACGTTATAATCCATACCACAGTGAGCCGATCATTTGGGCCCATGCATAACTAATGGACCCCAGGCCCATTGGGAGCCAACTCCCCAAAATGGGAGGCAGAATCCATGTCTTGCAAATTCAGCATTAAGAATTCATAGTATTTGTCTTGTGTAACCAGTGATGGCACTAAGTTATTCTCACACATTCCAGTAGTTTGGCACAGAGAGCTGTATTGCCACAACTGAGCAGTAGCTTACAATTGACTGTAATTCCCTACTTTTCCACTTTACCCTGCGAAACGGTGGGAGTAGTAATAGTAGTAGTAGTAATAGCATCTGAACCTGTCTAACTGCGGTGGGGGGCGGGGGGCGGGGGGAATAACAACCAGAATCAGCCCAAAGCTGATTCATATGAGATGGAGATCAGACATACCTCCACTCTCCAACCATTTTACCTCCACTGTCCAACCTTTTTACCAATTCTGATACCAGCTGTCCCTCCCATGGCACTCTCTGCTTCTCTTCTGGGTTTGATAATCTGTTGCAATGGCCACACAGAACTCACAGACCATATTTACAGTTAAGGGTACAACTCTGGATTAAGATTAACAGACTACAACTCAGGATCAGGATCAGGAAGCATATAGGCAGTCTTCTTTCTTCAGTGCAAGATAGCTTTCTCACCTCCTCTGGGCCACACAGCCTCCTCTCAGCCTCCTCAGAACAGGTTCCTCTCAGCCCCCTCAGGACAAGCTCCTCTTGGCCCTGTTGCCTGTCACCACCGGCTCTGCCACTGGACCCCTTCTGGGCCCCTTGCTGTCTTCAGTGTTATAACCCTTGACCTGTGTTACAGCTTGTTTAGGAGGCGCCTTGCCTCCTCTCTCTCTCTGCCTCTCTCTTCTTTCTTCCTTCTTCTCCCTGCTGCTTCTCTTCCTGCTGCTTTCTGTCTGAAAAACCTCTGTGGGGTTGGTTGCATATATACACAACTCCTTGTCAATTTCAAGACATGGCCCCTCCCAGCAGGAGGACTACAAACTGACCAATCCCCTCTCGGTAGGCCACAGACACTTCATTTGCATAGTCTATTGACCAGTCCCTGCAAGGTGCATACCAATCACAGGGCAGGCTGCAGCCCAGCACCAGAAAATAAGTATCAAACCAAGTTGTTTACAGTTTATTCAGGAAATGTCAGCCAACTTGGACAAAAGTAACAAACCCTCTGGGATAGAAAGCTAGGACAAAGGTAACTCCTCAGGGCTTAGGGGAAAAATCTCTCAAACTGTTTTCCTGAAGAACCAAGGCAAAAGGCCACATAATGGAACTTATCTCACCACAGCCCTCTAGGTAATGGGTGGTCTCTTCTCTCCTCAGGGACTCATAGTTCTCCTGTTCTTTCCTCTCTAAACTCAATCCATCTTCACAGTAGTGAAACTCAGTATTTGATAAATTATGCAATTTACATTTGTTTGCTGATTGGTTACACTACTGGGTAAAGTAAATGGATTTCAGTCAATATATTTATTTTTTTTGCGTTTTGATCTCTAACTGGGGAAAGAAAGCACAGTTCCCAGGTGAAAATTTCAGACTGAGTACAAGAGAAGCGTGGAGATTGGCGTCCTCTGTGGAGCTCAGCAGGGCCTTTCTAAAGTTGTCCTTGAAATTCCCACAAGTGAAGGAAGGCTGCTGGCCTGGCTCACTGCTTCTGACTTCTTGCCTTCATTCAGAGAGATGAAGGTGGACTTTGTGGGTGCCGTGGTGGGAACCTGGCCACCCCTCTATCTGCATCCATGCCTTCAGAGGTTCCGTTTGCTGAGGACAGTTTGAGTGCTTCTTCCTGGCCTTTTTCTGTAATACATCCTTTTCCTTTCCCTTCTGTGCACAGGATCTTCTCCCTAACAACCCTCCCTCCCTCTGTAATTCGTGTCTGTTCTTCCTCCTCTCTCTTTATGATTTACTCTCGCCATTCCCAGTGGTGGCCATTCCTGTCCTGGAGCCCTGTTTTCTCTCTACCTCCTCCCAGCATAGTGATGTTGCTGTTACCCCTCTAATGACAACCTCAGGCCACTGGGTCAGCTTTGACCTTCAACCAGCAAGCCATGAGGATTTCAGGGCAAAGAAGCAGTGTGCACGTAGGAAAGCTGCTGGAGGACACTCAGGGGTATAGATGGGGGATGTTGAGCAGACAGGAGGGAGGGAGGTGAGAGTGGGATGCCTCTGGTGTCAGGGATAGTACGTGAGGGACACAGGAGACCTCTCCTTTGAGGAGAAAGATAGCCTGTCTCGTGATTTGCCAGTGCTAAAGTGTTGAAGATGAAAATTAAACTGCAAATGATACTGGAGAAAACCGACAATAATGGTAATTTCAGCTATTGAAGCAATGAAGATGGAAAAAAGGCAAAAAAAAAAGTTGGCTTAACTGCATAAATAATACCAACTTCAATTACTTTTATGAACTGCTTATTATTTAGGCTAATTACTATCATTTTAGCTATCATGCATACTATTAAATACATCAGATTTATTTGTGTGAGTCTTATTTGATTATAGTGCTAGATTCTGTTTTCGTCAGCGGAACCGTAATAGTCTGTACGTATGTTGACTGATCAGTCTTATATTTGACCTACCCTTTGCCTGCAAGTTCATAGGTTTCTCTCTTGTTTAAGTAAATCTGACCTTTCAGAGATTAGCTAGTTTGTATATTTTGTCACACTTTTATAATTTATATTTGTCACACTTTTATATCACAGATTTGACAGCAGAACAGGCAGACATTAGAAAGTTGCAAATTTTTTCCTGGCTTACTCTGTGTAACATATGCATTTGCATTTTAAGATATTTTTGTATAGCATGCCTCGGTGCTTAGTGGAAGCTATGAAGTTCCTGTCAAGTAAGGATGAAGGTGGGGATGGAAAGAGGGGCCACTGTGAAATCTGTATGGGATATAGAATAGCAGGAGGAGAGGAAAGCTCTAGAGAGGAACTAAGTTTTTATATATGGAATCCATGGCCACAGGAGTCTCAGAAGACTTGAATGTGAAACCTCAACTTTTGTTGGTTTATATTTTATGAAAAGAGGAGGTTAGAGAGAAGAACTTGGCAGGAGGGTGTTCCAGAGCAATTTGTACCTGTTTGGAAGATAAAGGGCAACATTAAAAGTGTTAAGAGACCATCTATAGTTCCATTCGACTTGTCTTTTATATACTATTCTTTGTAACATTGAAAATATTGAGGATATCATTGCTTTGAAAGGGACTTAAGCAATCATGCAGCTGTTTCGATTCTTGGATGAAGATACAGAGGCCCACTGATTAGTTCTGTTTTTGACTAGGTGAATGGAAATGATTTTCTACCCAAGAGTCATTTCTCTCTAAATAGTATAAGTTAGAAAAGCTATATAGTAAAGGAGCCCTGGTTGCCAGTGGTTAAGAGATTGGCTGGTAACCAAAAGGTTGGCAGTTTGAATTCACCAGCCACTCCTTGGAGACCCTATGGGACAGTTCTCCTCTATCCTATAGGCTCTCTGTGAGTTGGAATCTACTCAGTTGCAGTGGGTTTTTTTATACAGTAAAAACCAAGTATTTGTTAATTTGGAGAGTGCATGCCTGTTAGACCAGGAACATCTTAGAAGTCCATGGTTTTTCAGTTTTGTGTATCAAGGGCCTATACGTGGTGATGCTCAAGATAAATTTCTTGAATTATGTTTGCAAATTCCCTCTCTTAAGAAATGTCGGTAGAGTATGAGTGTGTACCTTGTGCCAGGCCCTGTACTTGATCCCTTGCGTGCACTATTTCATTTAATCAATACAACCACCTTTGGAGGCAGATATGACTATCCCCTTTTACAGATGAGGAAGCTGAGGTTCAGAGAGGCTAAATAAGTTCCCCAAGGGGCAGAAGCTAAGATTCAGCCTCCTTCATTCACAACACTCTAACTGCTTAATTAGCTCTTACATGCTGTGCTATTGTGTCCCTACTATTGACTGTGTTGAAATTAAAAAGTTTAAATACTTGAATTATCATTAAATTGCAATGGTATACAAAGTTGTAATGACACGCAGACATTTCCCAAAGTAATATACTTGACTAATAGTATATTAGTCAAAAGCAAAAAGTCCAGATAAGCAATTTGATTTTCTTTGGCTGGTTTACCCACGATAGTAGGGTAATATGTAATTTATCATCTAAACTGAAAATGAAAGGAGGCAGTATTAGTAATTAAGCTGTAACAATAAAATAAACCAGATTACCCTGGCAACTTCAATATACTCTCACCCTGCTAATTGCTATTTGTCTTACTTGCGTCTTTGAGGCAAAAAATATTAAAACAATTCTTCATGTTTTTGACCTTATAGGGGGATTCCTCAGTGTCAATGTAAGCGAAGTCAGTTTTGATGAAATTCATCAACTGTTCGCCAAGGATGTAGATATTGAACCAGGAGGTCACTGGAGGCCTAAAGACTGTAAACCCAGATGGAAGGTGAGGTCAATTTTTTTCGTAAGTGATGTGACTGTTGCTGTGCATTTGGAAAAAAAACATATGCTAAACTGAAAGTATAGAGTGAAATACCTTTAACTCTTGATAAATTTAAGACATCAGACTACACATAAGTATTCACAGTTAGAATGTGATTTAATAGTGTTACGTATGAAGACTTTAAACATGCCTATAAGATATATGCTCACGTGTTCAGCCTCATGAAGTTCCTGGTAATAAGTACATCATTTGAGACTACTTTGATAAATTCATTGTTTTTCTGTTCTGTTTTGGAAGAGGGGGTGTGAGTTCTCTGCCTCCTCCAGCTGTCCCTAATAATTACTGGCTGCCTGCAGGTGTAACGTCACCAAGTACTGGAACCAATGAGAACCCACTGGGAGGATATTAATATCCTGATTTCTAATTGGATCTAGCACTGAGATTTTCAAACTCTGTTCCTCAGAGCCCGAGAATTCTAAAGAGGCCATTCAGAGGTCCCTGCAGGGTGTGAAAGGGAGGCTTTAGGCCCTTCACCCCGTTTCAGAAGGCAGAGAAGCAGCCTTTTATCTTTTTGATATGTTAGAATTCTACTTAATGTTTTGTTTGAAGAACATAAAGGAGTAGAGGTCTGCTGCTTTAAAAAAATTGAAAACCATGATAGACCATAGTTACTGTCAATACTATGAACTTGGTTAATGAGAACTACTTGTGCAATTCTGTTACGTTTGTGTAGAAAACAGCATTTATGTAATTCAGATGAAAACTACAGATGATAAAAATCAAATGTTATGTCCTAAAGGGTTGTGACATAGCCATAATCTGGTAACAGTTTTCAATTTCTCTTTTAAAATGTTAGTATTCTGCTAAAATACTCCTATGTTGGTACAAAAAAAAATTGACGGCTAGGAAGGAGAATTGTATGTTGTTAAACTCACGTTAAGTCTCTGACTTAATCCACCTTGAACTCTTCGTTTGGGGCTGTGTGTTTATATCTGTATCTCTAACACAGAGCATATTGTCTTATATTAGGTAAGCACTAAAAACAATTTTGTTGAATTGAGTTTATGCAGCAAATAAATGTCTTTTTGGCCTAGTTACAGATTATTAAATAAATGTTCAGTTTACTCGTCTCAAACAGTCTGTGAAACTGCTTAAATGGATTCCAGTACAAATTTGGAAAAGCATTGTATTTTACAATTGTCTTATGCCATTTGCCAGTTCAGATTCATTTAATAAATGAATCTTTTCATATTTCTTGACTGAAATTCCTCACATTTTTTTTTTAAATAATATGTAGCAATTTTATTTAAAATGCCCTTGGCTAAGAAATTATTTTTATTACTTGGGTGACGATTGTGTGTGTTGAATGTTAATGAAAGAAGAAGCACACTCGATTAGTCAGAAATGCTGTGACGATTGAGAGACAGCATGGGGGTAGACCCGCAGATATGTATTTATCCCGTAAGCATGCAGTGTGGGGCACAGTAGTAGGAGAACAATTTAGGATCAGAAAAATTGAGTAGTCTTGTCTTTCTCCAGTGCTCTGTCCAAATATTGAACTTTGAATTTTATAGTTTGTTTTCTTCTTCTCATTTTCCTGGAGACAAAGGCATATCATTCGTGAATAGTTACCACTTAGCGATTTTAGTAGACAGTGCACTCCATGTCAATCAGTAGGCAACAGCATTGAGAGTGGAGTTCCTAGGAGCAAGCCTAATTCAGGGATCTAAAAATTAGCTTATTTTCCTTAGGAACTGTATGGTAACTCTGCTATTATTTCAGCTTTGAGCATAAATCCGGTGTCGAGTTCTGAGCTATGCAACTAAAAACCATGGTAGGAATTTTGGAGATCATTCAGAGATGAGCTGTACTTGCCGTATTTAATTAAATAATTTCTCCCTCCACCCCTCCCTAGCTTTTTACATTCTAACCAAAACTTTGGCTGAAGATCATTCAAAAGCGGTTGCAGCAGCACATCAACAGGGAACTGCCAGAAGTTCAAGCTGGATTCAGAAGAGGACGTGGAACGAGGGATATCATTGCTGATTGTCAGATGGATCTTGGCTGAAAGCAGAGAATACCAGAAGGATGTTTCTCTGTGTTTTATTGACAATGCAAAAGCATTCGACTGGGCGGATCATGACAAATTATGGATAACATTGCAAAGAATGGGAATTCCAGAATGCTTAATTGTGCTCACAAGAAACCTGTACGTAGACCAGGAGGCAGTCGTTTGAACAGAACAAGGGGATACTTCATGTTTTAAAGTTAGGAAAAATGTGCGTCAGGGTGGTATTCTTTCACCATACTTACTCAATCTGTATGCTGAGCAAATAATCCAAGAAGCTGGACTATGTGAAGAAGAACATGGCATCAGGATTAGAGGAAGACTCATCAACAGCCTGCAGTATGCAGATGACACAATCTTGCTTACAGAAAGTGAAGAGGACTTGAAGCACTTACTGATGAAGATCAAAGACTACAGCCTTCAGCATAGACTACACCTCAACATAAAGAAAACAAAAATCCTCACAACTGGACCAATAAGAAACTTCGTGATAAATGGAGAAAAGATTGAAGTTGTCAAAGATTTCATTTTACTTGGATCCACAATTAATGCCCATGGAAACAGCAATTAGGAAATCAAGTGACATATTGCATTGGGCAGATCTGCTGCAGAAGACCTCTTAAAAGTGTTGAAAAGCAAAGATGTCACTTTGAGGACTAAGATGCACCTAACGCAAGCCATGATATTTTCACTTGCCTCATAAGTGTGCGAAAGCTGAACAGTGAATAAGGAAGACCAAAGAAGAATTCATGCCTTTGAATTATGGTGTTGAGGAAGAATATTGAGTATACCATGGACTGCCAGAAGAACGAACAAATCTGTCTTGGAAGAAGTACAGCCAGAATGCTCCTCAGGAGGAAGGATGGTAAAACTTCGTCTCACATGCTTTGCGCATGTTATCAGGAGGGCCCAGTCCCTGGAGAAGGACATAGTGCTTGGTAAAGTAGAGGGTAGGCAAAAAAGAGGAAGACCCTCAGCGAGATGGATTAACACAGTGGCTGCAACGATGGGCTTAAGCATAACAACAATTGTGAGGATGGTACAGGACTGGGCAGCATTTAGTTCTGTTGTACATAGGGTTGCTATGAGTCGAAACTGACTCGACGGCACCTAACGACAACAACAACAAACCAAAACCAAACCAAACTCATTGCTGTCGAGTTGATTCCAACTTGTGGCAACCCTATAAGACAGAGTAGAGCTGCCCCATAGGGTTTCCAAGAAGCAGCTGGTGGATTCGAACTGCTGACTTGGGTTAGTAGTCCAGCTCTTAACCACTGTGCCACCAGGGCTCCAATATTGGAACAGAGTTGAGAGAAAAGGAAAGAAGAGTAACTGGATTAATGCTAAATGTCTGCCACCAACTTGATTCTTAATCTTTGAGGCTCTTTTTGTTTGGTTTTTAACTAACAAAATGCTAACCAAGTTGATTGTTGGCCAATTTAATTGGAACTGAGATCTTCTAAAACTAGTAAGTTCAGCAAATCCTAGTGTGAAGGTTAAGGTTATGTGTCAGCTTGGTTAGACCATGATTCTCAGAGGTATTGCATATATTATGTGGCCATCCTCCATTTTGTGATCTGATGTGAGCAGCCAGTCAGTTGAAAGGGGAGTTTCTTTGGTGGTGTGGCCTGCATCCAGTATATATGAATGTTCTGGCAAAGCTCGCACTCTCTCCATCCTGCATCCAACTCGTCATCCTCTGACCTCTGGTTCTTGGAACATGAACCAGCAGCCTGCCATCTGACCTGCCGATTTTGGGTTCGTCAGCCCCTGCAACCACATGAGTCGGGAGAAGCCTCCAGCCTGACGCCTGACTCACAGATTTGGGACTTGCCAGCCTCCACAACTGTGTGAGCTATTTCCTTGAAATAAACTCTCTCTGTATATATACTTATATATGTACTCTTCACTAGTTTTACTCCTCTAAAGAGCCCACTCTTAAGACACCTAGGTACTCCTGAACATTGCAGGTTCAAATGGAAGATTTCAGCACAGGTTGGATGCTTTACAGAGGCAAGCTTATTTCTAAAAGGGAGATTGGGAGAGGAAGATGGTGATGCTTTTCAGGTCATTAAAAGTGAAGTGTTTACCTGAGACATCATCTGCCTTTCCATTCAGGGTTCAGGCTGAGAGATTGGACAACTTTGTTTCCAAACCTAAGGGTTAAAGAACCAAGAAATTACCTAGTGCTGTTACCACCTCGAAGGCCTGAAGTTCCATTTCAGGCGTGTCAGGATGGGTCTTAGTCACCTGTTTCAGAACTATCTGGAGTGTCTGGTAAAAATGTAAATTCTTGAACTCAATCCTCAGACATTCTGATTTAACAGGGGTGGGGACGTGGACCTAGTTTTTTTTTTTTAAATCAAGCGCTGTCAATTTGAGAAATGTACCTACAGGTGTTGGAAATGAGGAAGATGCAGAGGAAGAAGCTGAAAACACCTGTTGGGGAATGAGGGCTTGGTAGCTTCTACTTCCTCAGTCTTAGTGGCAAAGAGCTAGATGCCCTCTTAAAGTGACCAAGTATAAAGCCCAGTCATTTAGGGACACTGTGGCTGATGGTGTGCTTGAAGTCTGAAATTCGGACAAAAACATGGTTGGGTAAATTTGTGTGAAAAATGGCTTTCTTGATCGGCTCTTCATAGTGTGTGTAGGAGAAAATAAGAAAGGAAAAAAAAAATAGGTGCATAAATTGAGTTAGATTAATGGTTTTAAAAGTGGAAGCAAATGGAATGGAATAATTTTGCTTGAACAGAAGGTGATGAAGGAGGTATGAAGATGAAGTGTTGTTTTTTCAGAAGATAATGAACAGGTATTCCATCTTCACTGAAGATATATCAGTAGGAGAGTGTCTCAAGTAGCAAATTAGGGCACAGATAAGAGAGTCCTGAAATGAAGGCTGCTGAACCTCAAAAATGTATTACCACGTAACACTGAGATCTTCTTTTTCTAGACAATCAGCTGCAAACTATTGAGAATGTCATTCCACAGCCACAAGAAGAGATATGCCAAATAAATTTTTAAGATATTGTCGAACTTTATTCTGATAAAAAGTTTGTTCTGGACATATTATTCACAATTTTTGGTAACTACCCCATTAAAATTTTGACCTTTATTTGCTGTTAAATGTCAGTTTAGCTTATTTGAATTTGCCAAGACACTGATACTTTCTTCTACTTATAACATTCTCAGTTTCCTTGTAAGATTTAAAAAAAAAAGAAAAACTCTTGATATTCTAAACCCTTCATTGAAGAAATTTCTGTATGTTAAGACTTTGTTTATTCTTATATGCTCAGTTCATCACTCAGCCAGTTATCTTTAATGTGGACTGACTTTGATTAATATGGACTCTGTGGCCATTTAGAGCTTCTTCCCTTAAATATCATCTATTATTCACCTTAACTGCTTTTATAATCCATTTACATTATATCATAAGTGGCCAACTTGTGGCCAAATGCAAAACCAGGAAGGGCAAGCTCAACCCTTATTTTGGTAGACATTACCACGCTGATACACTTCAGTTAAGGTAGGTAGTAGGGATATGTACTTATTATCTAATTTCTTTATCCCCTTTTACTTTTTCACAGCAGTCTCCTAACAGTAAACGTAGGGGCCCCTGAAATGCATTGGCAGCTTATTGTTTGGGAATTCCTTAAATACGGCAATAATTGATAGACATGCACATTAGCAAGTCCCCACTAAGTAGGGAGTTCCCAGCTCCATAGGCAGCCATTGTGTGGACATACAAACGGGAGGAGTCCCAGATTCTGTGACATATTACCGTGGCAAACTTGTGGCCCTCAGGTTCAAAAGCCAAGGAGGTACTTTCTGAGATAAATCAAAAGGGGATGGGATCCAAAGTGAGGCTGCCTGGTACAAGAGAACATTTTCAGAGTCTTCCATTTAACAAACATGAAGTAACTAATGAAAACATAAAAACATCTGCCTCCTAGCAGCCATTGGCTCTTTTTTTTTTTGCTGTCTCATCTGCATTAAGGGAATATTAATGGTGAAATTTCTGGTTTAGATGCCTTCCGTTTTACTAAACCATCTTTTGTTCTCTTTTTAAATAAAACTTTTTGATAATTGCAAGTTTTTTCCCATTTATAATCCTGGTAATATAAAACACACAAGTAAATGTTTCTATTTTCTGTTGACTATATCTAATGCCATGTCCTGATTTTACAAGTAGGGTTAGTTCTTAAACCTGTGCACTCTCAATTATTTGCGTTTGTTTCATTAGTAAAATTTATTTGACATAAATGAAATTTCTTTTTTAAGTCTTTTATACAAAAATTTATATATATGTTGTTATGTGACCCTAATTGCTCTCCCTATACTGTGACAGCATACTTCTCCTTTCCATGCCAGATTAACCATGTCCATTCAACCAGCTCCTGACCCTCTCTGCCTTCTCATCTTGAAATTTTTAATAAATTCTAGATTTAATGTTCTTCCATAATTTTCTATTATAATCAGCTTAGATTGTATTTCAAAATCTAGAATATAGAGTGATGCATAGATATTCTAATTAGATATATTTTCACTCTTATATTCTTTGAAAATCTAATGATTTTGGAATTTATGACTTGTAGACAATAGCTTGTCTTAATTTCCATTTTTATTAGAAAATGCACAATTATAATAAAATCATCTTAGCTCAGGAATTGCTGAGAAAAGTAATGTTTAGAAAACGTTTTAACTTTTTCAAGGGCAAAATCTGAATTGTAGAGAAAGCTAGCTTGTATAATAAATTTTGGATTCAGGAAATAGGAGATTTGAGTAAGTAATGATTGATAAGTATCCATTTATTCCCATATCATATTTAGACATTTTATATAGGTGATGTTTATTAGTCTTGATTTTGAGAGTTCCAATAAATGTTTTTCTTCCTACAAAATGGAAGATTGATATACTGAGAAATCATTTTAATTTCCATATATGTGTTTCTTCTGTTTTTTGGTTTATGTAAGAAAAAATTTCTTTCGTTTGTATAAGGATGAATTCTTTGTTTCCTGTGCTGCTTACATGATCATTTTTGTTAGCTTAACATTCTGACATAATAATTTTATTATCAGTTTCATTTTGAACTAAATATTTTACTACTGCTGAAATACATTTATAAAATGGACTGAAAACTTGGCTGTACATTTTAATTAAATGAAAATTATAGTAATGTAATAACCAAACTTCATGTGAATTCCATTTAAGTAGTGTTATATATGGTTGAGTTGCTTCAACAGGCTGTGACTAGAACCTCTTGCATGAATATTTCTCAAAAATACCTTTAGGCCAGATAAGGCACGTATAGGGTAGTAGATATTCTAGTGGTTAAGAGCTTGGCTGCTAACCAAAAGGTAAGCAGTTTAAATCCAGCAGCCACGCCTTGGAAACCTGATGGGGAGCAGTTCTGCTCTGTCCTTTATGGTTGCTGTGAGTTGGAATCAGCTCAGCAGCAAAGGGTAATAGATATTCGAGTAGAATCTCTTTTAAATTCAATTTATAAACCAGAACGTTTTCGTTATTTATGATCTACTTTAAAACCTAGAAGTTACTCTTGACACATCCCTCTTCCTCACTCCTTGTATCCAGTCAATAACTAAATCTTATTAATTTGCCCCTTATGTGTTTTGAAAATTCATGCACCTCGCTTCTTTTCCTCCAAACTACCATTACCTCTTACCTCTGCTATTGCATTAATTTCCTAACTGGTTTCCCTGAGCCAGCCCTCTTTAGTCTGTTCTCCATACAATGTTAAAGTGGTCTTCTCAATTGCCAAATCTGATTTTATCACCTTTTAGTTAAAATCTCTCAGTAACTTCTCATGGTGTTGATAGGACAAAGACCACCATCCTCAGCACGGCCTTCAGAGCCCATTTGTACCTCCCCCGCCTCTTCTCCCATGCTGCTCCCTCTCTGCACTCAGTGGCAAATGCACTCCGCCTGCTGCCCAGAGCCTTTGCAAGGGCTGCTCCTCCCTCTGCCCCAGCATTTCCTTTGCCTGCTTAATTCCAACTCTTGCACCTCAGCTTGGCTTGTGCCCCTGACCCTCAGGCCACCTAGCATCCCCAATTTTATGATCTTGGCACAATAGACACTTCTTTTGTAACACTTATCACAGTTGTAATTTTACCTGTAGCTGTGCGCTCTGTAAATTAAAGTCTGTCAGCCTCAACACCATAAGTTGCGTGAAGGCTTCGATCACTTTTCTGTGTCTGGTCAGAAAATTCATAAGAGTATGACTTTAAAACCATTGGAAACTTTTAAGCATCGGTTTTTATCTCTACTTCTAGGGTTGATTGCAATATTTACTTACATGTGTGACTTGTTTTAAAGGTGGCAGTTCTCATCCCTTTCCGTAATCGCCATGAACATCTTCCGATTTTTTTCCTGCACCTGATTCCAATGCTTCAGAAACAGCGGCTGGAATTTGCCTTTTATGTCATTGAACAGGTTAGAATATTTTTCAAAGTGGTAATAAGTATTTTAGACTTTAATAAATGCTTAGATAGGTTTGTTTAAAAATTTCTAGCTTAAGATTAATTAAGAAATACAAATCCTTGGTTTTTTCATTTGAGTAAAATTACATTTTGGATTGAGCCTGTATTTTTCTTTCAGCTCTTTTTTTTTTTGTAAAAACAAGCAACATGCCTTGGTGAAATGAGTTGTTCAGCAGTTATGTATGACTTTAGTATGATAGCCTTCTATGTTTTAATTGCGTATTCTAAATGTTAGTTGGTCAAATTACAAATTTTTATAACCGCACCACTAATACCTTATAAGGTTAAAAACTCCTTTTACTTTTTTTTTTTTTAAAATTTTTTATTGTACTTCAGGTGAAGGCTTACAGAACAAATAGTTTCTCATGAAACAGTAGTAAGCATATTGTTTTATGACATTGGTTAACAACCCCACAACATGTCAACCCTCTCCCATCTTGACCTTTTTTTTTTTTTTTTTGGTGAAAATATACGTAGCCAAAGATACACCATTTCAAAAATAAATTTCTACGTGCACAGTTCAGTGACATCGACTACATTCTTCCGATTGTGCTGCTATTCTCACTTTAGATGAAGGCTTACAGAACAAAATTCCTTTTGCTTTTAGTATTACTCCTTTTTAGGCTTTCATTGTTTATTCCTGAAAACCTCTGTAATATTTCATTTAATCCAGAAGCTGCTTATTTTGTAATTTGGGCTATTTTGGGAGCTTTTAGACTCATGTGCACTGCCATCTAGACCAATAACCGGTGCACTTTGGAGTGTAATGCAAAGTTTTAGATATTGTGGATTATACTGACACACGCTAGAATCATCTCAGTTACATACCCAGTGTTCAATTTGGAAAGAGAATTTCAGTTTATGGCCCATGAATTTAAGCATAGAAAGTCAGGGATAAGTTTTTTTTTTTTTTTTTAAAAAAAAAAAGCAACAGCAAAACATAGATAATTCTTGATTGAGGATTTCTTTGTACTGTGGGGTGGTTACTGGCTAGCCCCGAAAATCAGTATTAGATCAATTCCATCAGACAATCAGGGGCTCCTGAATGACAGCCAGGTAGTAATCCTTAAATAAAGGCAGTATATGGTGAAAATTTGCTCTCCTGTTTCCCTAGTCTTTCATTTTCAAAGTCATTATCTTGCTGGAGCAAACGTGACTGTTTTGTTACAGCCAAATATATCTATTTTGCTAGCTGTGCTGAGCCTGACCCTAGTAATGAAACACTAGCTTTTTGAGGATGGAGACCCAGTAACTGATTAGTGAGTATGTGTCAAATAAACTGATACATAAAGCATACATTGCATGGAGGAGTAAACCATGAGCCCAAGAGCCCTTCCAAATCTGAGCTTCTGTGATTCTTTTAGAAGTGAAGATAACCAGGAAGAGAGTAGAATTAACAAACGTTGGCAAAGCTAGAAAAGTTCAGTCCATTTGTTTCTGAACAGGTAATATCAAAGCTCAGTCAGTCATACTTCTTTAACGTAGACTGTTAAAATAGGTTAGAGCTGATTTGTTTTTCACATTCTTTGTCTTTAAGGGCTAGACCCAAACCCATTGCCATCGAGTCAATTTCGACTCATAGCAATTCCCCATAGGGTTTCCAAGGCTGTAAATCCTTATGGAAGCAGACTGCCACATTTTTCTCCCTTGGAGTTGGTGGGTTCAAACTGCCAGCCTTCTGGTTAGCAGCCGAGCACTTTAACCACTGTACCACAAGGCTGCTTTAAAGGCTATACTCGGTGAAAAGAACTTAATTTTCTACCTTTTTTTAACCTATGGCTAAAATGATGTTTCAGAAACCTAAAAAAAGTGTGATAACACTTGGAGACTAGTTCTCCAAGCCAACTTATACCCCCTCATTATTGTACCTCATATTTTACGTTAAAATGTGTGTGATACATATATAATTTTATCTTAATGCATATTGACCTTTCCAGTTGCTCTACATCATTGCCAACACTTGGTATGGTTGGTTATTTGCATTTTAGCCATTCTGTGGGTATATAGGAGTCTGTGGGTGGCACATATGGTTAAGTGCTGAGCTACTAACTGAAAGGTTGGTGGTTTGATTCCACCCAGAGGTACCTGGGAGGAAAGGCCTTGCGGTCTGCTTCTGAAAGATCACAGCCATTGAAAACCTTATGAAGCACAGTTCTACTCTGACACAGATAGGATTGCCATGAGTCAGAATCAACTTGAAGGAAACAGGTTTGTTTGTTTTAGATAATGTAAACACTATTGATTTAACTGGATTCCCTGGGTAATGAGAACAGTTAACATGCTCGGCTGCTGACTGAAAGATTGGAAGTTCAGATCCACCCAGAGGTACCTCAGAATAAGGTCCTGGCTATCTACTTCCAAGAAATCAGTCATTGAAAACCCTAGGGAGCAGAGTTCTATTCAGACACACATGGGGTTGCTGTGAATAAGAATTGACTTGATGGCAACTGATAATTGATTTAACCAAAATTTAACATATACAGTCAGTTCTCAGTATTCACAAATTCCATATTTGTGAATTTGCCTACTTGCTAAAACTTATTTGTAACCCCAAAGTCTATACCAGCTGCTGTTTCGCAGACATGTGCAAAAGCAGCTCATGCGTTCCCAGCTGAGGTCCAACAAGGCTGGTTCTGTATTCGCTAATTCTCTGTTTGTGGGTACTTCATTGAATGTAACTACTTCCAACAGGGAGAATTGACTGTAAATATATTGGGAGAATGAGGGGAGGGAAAGTGGGTGTGATGATTTAACGCCTCAACTGCCATAATAAGTCAATGGACAATGTCTAAAGTTTAACAAAGCAACAAATACCAGAACTCTCATTACTGCGAAATGTAAAGAGAAATATCAGCATAAGCTAGAGGAGTTGAAATGTGCTGCTCTTAGAGGATGAAGGTGGGTTAGACATGGAACTTCTTATTTTTGTTATAGGCAATAAAGTATTATGTCCACATTTAATTAAAAAAATTTTTTTTTAAACCTTAAAGGAAAGTAATTGGTTAAGGCTAATGCTGATATACCAGTAATGACATGATTAAACTCCCTTTTTATTCTCTCCATTTCACTGGTGAAGAAAGAGCTGATAAAAAATAAAGCGATTTCTATTCTTACCTCAAATTAGTACAAGACTCAGGACAAAAAATAGTAATTTTTCACTCTTCAAGAAATACTTTTGTGATGACTACAGTGTGTATCTGTAAAAATGGCATGGGGGCAGTGTCTGACCTCCTCCAACTTCACCAGGGGGAAGGAGAACTGAGGTCAACAGCCCAAGGCTGATTCCTGTGAGGCAGAGGTCAGACATGCCTCCTCTCTCTGCCATCTTTACTAATTCTGACACCAACCATCCCTCCTGGGGCACTTTCTACTTCTCTGCTGGGTTTGATAATTCATTGCAGTGGCCACACAGAACTCACAGACAATACTCAAGATTATGGGGTTTATTGGGGAAGTAACAGTTATAATTCAGACTCAGGAATAGTCAAGGATATATAGTTCTTTCATCAGAACAGCCTCTTCCCAGCTGTGCTCACAGGCACACTTCTCTGTCCAGATGCACTCAGCTTTCTCTCTCCGTGGGCTGGGAAGCCCACTGTGCTGCTGGGTCTCTGCTGCCGGGTCTCTCTTGCTACTGCTTCTCACCGTCTTCAGGGTTACAGCTTACTCTCTCTCTGTCTCCTGGTGCCAGGAGCCTCCCAGCACAGGGGTATCAGGTCCAAAGGATGTGCCAGCTCCTGGCTACTCTTCCCTGACGGTGATGGGATTCTCTCTTTCCCACCTCTGGGGTGGCTCGTTTCAAGCCCAGCAGGTGGCAAAACTGACCAATCACCTTGGTAGGCTACAATTACCCTATCACACAATCCTGCCCAGTCACATGGGTGGGAGTTACAAGACCATGGCTAGAAAGGCCACGCACAAAAGTGATCTATCACACCGCAGTATCTCATTTGCTTCCGTCATAGTATTTTTTGTTTTGTATTTTGCACTGTTTCTGAGATATAGGTAAATATTCTTTTTTTAAATTTTTTTTTTAATTGTACTTTAGGTGAAGGTTTACAGAACAGATAGTTTCTCATTAAACAGTCAGTACACATTGTTTTATGACATTGGTTAACAACCCCACAACATGTCAACCCTCTCCCTTCTCGACTTTTTTTTTTGTTTTGGTGAAAATATACATAGCCAAAGATATACCATTTCAGAAATTTCTACATGTACAATTCAGTGACATTGATTACATTCTTCCAGTTGAGCTGCTATTCTCACTATCCTTTTCCAAATTATTCCATCACCAATTGTCTTCAACTCACTGGCCCCTAGGCTTCCCATCAAACCTTTTGAGTTGCTGTTGTCAGTTTGATCTCACATAGATAATTCTTTTTTTTTTTTTTTTGTACTGTAGATGAAACTTGACAGAACAAATAGTTTTTTACTCTTTTGGTGAAGTCTTTTGATGAGCATAAGTGTTTTATTTTTAGAAGATCCCATTTATCTAGCTTATCTTCTGGAGTTTGTGTGCTGTTGGTTATGGTTTGTATCCTGTTAATGCCGTGTATTAGGGCCTCTATCGTTGATCCTATTTTTTCTTCTATGAATCTTATAGTTTTTGGCTTTATATTTAGGTCTTTCATCCATTTTGAATTAGTTTTTGTATATGGTGTGAGGTATGGGTCCTGTTTTCATTTTTTTGCAGACGGACATCCAGTTTTGCCAGCACCATTTGTTAAACAGACTGTCTTTTCCCCATTTGATGGACTTTGGGCCCTTGTCGAAGATCAGGTGACTGTAGGTGGATGGATTTACATTTGGGTTCTCAGTTCTGTTCCATTGGTCAATGTGTCTGTCATTGTACCAGTACCAGGCTGTTTTGACTACTGTAGCTATATAGTAGGTTCTGAGGTCAGGTAGTGCAAGTCCTCCTACTTTATTCTTCTTCTTCAGCAGAGCTTTACTTATCCGGGGCTTCTTCCCTTTCCATATAAAGTTAATGATTAGTTTTTCCATCTCTTTAAAGAATGTTATTGGTATTTGGATCAGGATTTCATTGTATTTGTAAATTGCTTTGGATAGAATTGTCATTTTCACAATGTAGAGTCTACCTATCCAGAGCATGGTACATTTTTTCATTTATGTAGATCTCTAGGTTTCTTGCAGTAGTGTTTTGTGGTTTTCTTTGTATAGGTCTTTACACCCCTGGTTAGATTTATTCCTAAGTATTTTATTTTTTTTAGGGGCTATTATAAATGGTATTGCTTTCCTGATTTCCTTTTCATTGTTCTCTTTATTGGTGTATAGGAATCCAACTGATTTTTGTATGTTTATCTTGTATCCTGCTACTCTGCTGAATCTTTCTATTAGTTCCAGTAGTTTTCTCGTGGAGTCTTTAGGGTTTTCTATGTTTAGTATCATATCATTCACAAACAGGGACATTTTAACATCTTCATTATCAGTTTGGATGCCCTTTATTTCTTTTTCTTGCCTCATTGCCCTAGCTAGGACTTCCAGCACAATGTTAAATAGGAGTGGAGATAAAGGGCATCCGCCTTGTCTTGTTTCTGTTCTCAAGGGAATGTTTTCAGCCTCTCTCCATTAAGAATGATGTTGGCCGTTGGTTTTGCATAGATGCCCTTTATTATGTTGAGAAATTTCCCTTCTATACCTATTTTATTGAGAGTTTTTATCAGGAATGCCTTTTCTGCGTCAATTGAGATGATCATGTGATTCTTTTCCAGAAAGAAATTTTTTATTGCCAATGCACTTTAATCTGTTTTCCCTAGCAATAAAGGAAAACAATTGTAATAAAGGAAGTTGGGTCTGTTGTAATAAGTTCCAATTGTTTATGTCTCTAAAGATACTCTTGGTCTTTATGATAAGCATTAGTAATAAAAAGTTAGACCTTCCTGGCTTTGTGATACAAGAGAAGCGTTACTGCCTTTTGATTCATTTTCTATAGAAAAATACAGCTTCTCAGTTTTGACAGCATTTGGAAAGCTTTACTAGAAAATAAAACCTATATTATTTTTAATGCTTTATTTTTTTCTGGTCATAAATAACCTATATCCTGATGTATTTGAAGTAAAACAGAATATAAATTATGTGACTATATAAATGTGATGATCTACTAAGAGATGGATAGATGATAATAATATTTTCTGGTATGTTACTAAGGTATAAAATGATGTAGTAAGTACATTTAACCAGTATGTTTGAAAATCCTAAAGTATGTTTATTACTTTGCCTACTTGATCCGGGTATGATTATTATTATTTGACCATGATTTGAAAATCCTAAAGTATGTTTATTACTTTGCCTACTTGATTCGGGTATGATTATTATTATTTGACCATGATTAATAAGTCATAAAAATATAGACAAAAGTCAGACAACAAAATCTGTGTGCATTTCTGTTTTTCTGTGCTCTCTCTCAAGACTGGCACACAACCTTTTAACCGTGCGATGCTCTTCAATGTGGGCTTCAAAGAGGCCATGAAAGACAGCCCCTGGGACTGCGTGATTTTCCACGATGTGGATCATCTACCTGAAAATGACCGAAACTATTATGGATGTGGAGAAATGCCACGTCATTTTGCAGCAAAGCTGGATAAATACATGTATATGTAAGTAGCATGTAATACTCCTTATATTGTGCAGTATACTTGCAAAATCATATTAAGATGGTAACAGCATGATGCTCCTGGATCTGAGAGAGCTCAAGACCCTAAAGGGTATCTTCTTTAACTCCAGCTCGTCCTTGTGGGGGTCAGGATCTAGAGTTGCTTGTCGTACATCTCGGCACTTCTGTACACAGGTTTGAGCATGGCATGGTGGAAAAGAGAGTCTCGTTTCTGTAGTCAGACAGATGTGGATTTAAACTTGGGTTCTCACCCTTAGTGCCATAGTACTGGTGAAGGTACTTGTATCTGAACGTTGGTTTCCTTGTTCACTGGAATAATAGAGCTTGCCCTGTAGGGCCTGTGGGTTCACCTGTACTCTGTGCTGGCACATGGTTGAGTCCTAACGCATGTTGGCGCCCTCTGCTTCCCTTGCCCTTAGTGATGGTTCAGTGCGGAGAAGTCCCTCTCCTCTGCAGTGTGTCTCCTTTTTCCTAAACTGTGGATTCTTGACATGCCTTTAACAATAGAGAACCAATCTCTTTGTTCCCTGTGACTGGAGATACTTTGAAATGTAAAAGGTCATTGGAGCTGTGACAGTAACTTAAATTCACATTTAAGAGTGCATGTCTGATCCGGGAAAGAAATCATAATTTTCACCGGCTAGTGGAAGTAGAGAGAAGAGAAAGTAGGCTAGAGATGGAAGATGTTGCCTATAGCACAGCTTTGCCTGGTGCCCCACCTACAGAGTCCAGAGAGGCACAAAGTCTCAATGATGTAACCAAGTGAATTGGCACTAAAACATAAAAGAATGCTTCTTTTCCTGGTCGTTGTCTTCATTAGAACACCCTTCATTTATTATCAGAGTACCTGAACTCAAAGTGTAATGTTACCTGTGGGCAGTCATCAAGATTCAGGATCGGGTTCTTAACACTTCTAGAAACTTGATTCTGGTCAGCCTAGTAGAATCAAATTAGATTCAGGGTAACTGATTTTCACTAAGAAAATATAAAGGTCTGTAAACAAGGGGAGTCCCTGGGTGTTGGCAGACGTTTAACACACTAGGCTGCTAACCAAAAGGTTGGAGGTTCAAGTCCACCCAGAGGTGCCTGGGAAGAAAGGCCTGGCAGTCTACTTCCAAAAAACGAGCCACTGAAAAACCCTATGGAGCACAGTTCTACTGTGACACTCATGGGGTTGCCATGAGTCAGAGTTGACTTTATGGCAAATTTTTTTTTTTTCCCTCATAAGCCAGGGATTCTAGATTAATTTTTTCACACTTGAAGACAGTTTCTAGTGAGCAAAATATTTATGCCCATCTAGACGAATCCCAGGATTAGTAGGGTATCTTGGAAGTTTGATTAAAAATTAGAATGTAGTTTAGGGAGTACGGAAGCAGATCGGTGCATGGACTAGACAGTGCTTCTACTAACTAAAAAAAAAAGCAAACCTGTTGCCATCGAGTCAAGTCAGTTCCAACTCATAGTGACCCTATAGAACAGAGTAGAACTGCCCCATGGGGCTTCCAAGGAGTGGCTGGTGGATTTGAACTGCCGTCCTTTTGGTTAGCAGCTGAGCTCCTAGCCAGTGCGCCACCAGGGCCCCAGGGCTTGCACTATAGGCATATTTTTTCCAGGCTGTAACGTGAAGCTGAGTGAATCCCCCCTGCCTCACAGTGGTGCCCACGCTCTGATGACTGGTGAGTAGGAAGTTCGTGCCCCCAGATTCCGCGGCTCCTCGCTTTGGGAACTGTAAAATAAATGTTACTAGATTTTTGCTTACTGAGCTTCTTTTTTCTGTTTGCTAATTTATCTATTATACCTTCATTTTGTCTAATTTTTTTATGTTCTGGATATAATGCAATTCTCTGTTTCCAGCAAAGCAACAAATGAAATTAGTGTGTTTGTCAGTATATACATGTCAATAAACACACACACATTTATCCGTATCTACCTAGCTAATGATCTCAGGTTTCTCCTGAGCCACTAACATGGTCAAGAATAAGCCAGCTGGCCTAGGAAACAAAGCAGTGGCAAGAACACTAATTGGCCCTCTTGAACCTCGACCAGTATTGGTACTGGAACCCTAGCTTCCCAAGTCACAGTTTAAGGGAACCTGATGAGGTCTCCTGGGACAATATGGTTGTCTTTAGGGGCATTGTTGCTGCTACTGTCTTGGGGTGCCTTTGGCCCGCCCACCTTAGGGACGAAGCTGCTTTCTCCTGTAACCCTATAGGTCCATGTGAGAGCTGCTTCTCCCTGGTTCTGTGTACCGCACAAGAGTCCAGCTGGCAGACAGCACTTTTTCCCCTCTAGCAGCACGAAGATTAATCTCCTGCCCTCTCTGTCTCTAAGACAGCTTTGCTATAGTCCCAGTCAGATTTCTTTCATTTTGATTTTCGGATGCTATGCATGTTTCTCTTCTCTCTGCTGGCCCTGCCCATTGGCCTGACCTCTGTTGGGGCTTTGGAACACCACTCCCCAGGAACGCATTTTGGGCCACAGGAATTTATTCAGGACAGCAAATCTAGGGATGCTACCTCAGCATTAGATTATTAAAAAAGTACTTTCAAAACACTGCATACTTTGACAAATTCCTTGGAGTGTGAGTTTGGGGAGGGTAGAGAAAATAAAACCCAAACTTTAAAACATAGTTATTTCTCTAAATATAAGTTCATTAAAATAAATGTATTTACAAATACCCGAGTTTTGGAGGAGTCTAAATCCAAACATTATAGGAATAGGCAGCTACATATTTCAAAATTAAATGCTATATTTGTCTTTAATAATATATATTTCTCCTACTTTATATAATAAATAATACATTTATAAGTAAATTCAATTAATTTTTTAAAAAATGTATTAGTTTAATAACATCTAACCAAAAGATTGGAGATTTGAGTCCACCTCAGAGGCACCTTGGAAGAAAGGCCCAGTGATCTACTTCCAAGAAATCAGCCATCGAAAACTCTGTAGAGCACAGTTCTACTCTGACACAATGGGGTCACCATGAGTTGGAGTCGACTCGACTACAGCTGGTTTGGTTTTAACATTGCATTGACAGCTGTTGATGTATTTGATCGAGTTTATTTTTGGTGTGAAAAGATTGTATGATTTTGAACACTGGATTTTGAGTTTTATAAAGTAACAGTACTGAACATTAAATTTTGATTGCCACAAATGTTTTGTGTTTAACATAACACATTTAGATGTACTTACTTGAATATGTTTTGTTTCTTGGTTGCATTTTACATTTCCCAGAATATAGTTTAATCAGTATAATTGTTAAATGGAAAATAGGAGTACATTTTGCAAAGCCCATTAATGACTGAAACTCGATTTCATATGGTAAACTGTTATGATTTCATTTTTAGAATGCTATTATCCCTCCTGTCTTTTTCAGTCTTCCATACAAAGAGTTTTTTGGTGGTGTAAGTGGACTGACGGTGGAACAGTTCAGGAGGATCAATGGTTTTCCTAATGCCTTCTGGGGATGGGGAGGAGAAGATGATGATCTTTGGAATAGGTACGATGAGGTACAAATTGCTTAATAATAGAATTTCTGTAAAGTTCATTTCTATTAGGTAAATTGTACCTTTGTGTTATAAGAGAAGATTCTTTGGAGTGGAAAAATTTTGAGGTTCCAAAATTCTGTTTTGTGTTTCTCTCTTTTTTCTTTAAGAGTGTCTCCTGAAATTATTAGCAACGTGTACATCAGAGTATTTTTTGCACTTTAAAATTAAACTCATGTAATCTGTTTTTAGTAAGATCTTATTTCTTTATATTTCCATTTCCATGTATTGTATGGTAGAGTTCACTATGCTGGATATAATGTAACAAGACCAGAGGGAGACGTAGGGAAATACAAGTCGATTCCTCATCATCATCGTGGTGAAGTCCAGTTTTTAGGACGGTAAGTGTAATGTCATCTTCAGATACCAAAGTCTCAAAGCTGTTTAACGTATTAATGGTTAAAAAATGGCATTACATCTCAAAAAAATCTCCTGAATTTTCTGTATCATTTTTCTTTATAAAAAGAAAGCACTTTTTGTGCTTGTTTTGAAGAGATATATGTATACATGTGTGTAGGTTATATTAAAGGGCCTAGTTAACTAATATAAAAGATGTTTCCTTAACATAAAACATAATACATTTTATTAATTAAGGATGTCTAAGTTGTAAGAGTGCAAATAATTTTTTTAGGTGGCATTTTAAGACTAGTAAAAATGTTAATTTAAATAGTGGTTTAGGGATTTTTAATTATGTTTGAGAACCAAAAATTGTAAAGAACTTTAAATGCTTTAATTATAAGATGACCTTGAGCATATTTATCATCAACATCAACTTTTCTTTTTGAACACATTTCTGATACTCTTCCCTTTTTCCTGTAATATTTAGGTATAAATTGCTAAGGTATTCAAAAGAGCGTCAGTACATCGATGGGTTGAACAATTTAGTATATACGCCAAAAATACTGGTCGATAGGTTGTTTACAAATATATCTGTAAACCTCATGCCAGAGTTAGCTCCGATCGAAGACTATTAAAAGAAGCAGCTCTCTTGGCAAGATAGACCACAGTCCTGGGTTATAAACTTGGAGTTCACTCTTAATGGAGGCAAATGAATGGATGTGTCACGGTGCCCCGTTCTCTGAGAAGAGCCAGCAGTTCTTAATGTTTACAGTGTGGGACAGTACCCAGTCAGCCTTCTTCCACCCACCCTGTCTACTTGGAGACACACCCTCCTAGCGAGCACTGCAGAAGCCAGGTGCCATTGCTTGAGTTGGAAGTAAAGAGAGCTCCCTACAAAGAGAACATTTTTATACTAAAAACTATAATTTACTTCAAGAGAATGCTTTGTTTCCATTTAAACATATTTTGTACATATGTGATGTAAATTACTGTGTTCAAATTGTTGAAAACTAAAATGTGTTGCAGTTTTGCATGTGATTGGTTATGCCTTTATTTAACTTTTATAGACATTTTTTATTTGCATGAGAAAAAGAATATAAATTTAAGTCAGTCACTAAACAAAGGTTAACCCCTGTGTGAAATGAAGGAACTGTCAATAATTGACAGCCAACTAATACAGTAAACTGTTATACTAGTTTTGAGCTATTAACCTTCAGCCTTTTATATAGAAGTCACAGCTTTCTCAGAATTTTAAAGGATAAGAAGAAAGGATTTAAGCAGCTTTTCTTCCTACCAGGATTGCCTATTTTTTCCTTGCTTGCAATCTCATCAGATTTTGCTAAATCATAACCATATTGTTTATGCATATTGCATGAGTATTACCAAGAAAACCTTAAAAGTTGTGATGTGACATGATATAAAGGACCTCTTTATGTTAAATGTCTTTCATGTACCTCTGGTATAAGTGTCAGGGATTTTGTGCCTCAAAAATTGTTCCCAAGGTTGTATTTGTACACTGTATTTTTTTTTTTTTAATTCATAGTGAATGGCACTTTTATTACTTCCAGTTCAAATGAGCCAAAAAAAGTATCTTCATTTAAAAAAAAAAATTTTTTTTTAAAGAAGAAGCTATGGAAAGCCCAATAATACTTATATAAATGAATCATAGTATTAGATTAAATGTTCTATTTTTATGAAGATAGATTCTTAGTAGATAAAAAATTTTAAGTTTAATTCGAAGAATCATGGAATTCCAGGTTTGGAAGGGATTGTTTAAGGTTGGCCAATTTAATGCAAACTGTATTTTTTTTTTCTTTTAATTTAATTATTAAAATTTCCTCACAAAAAGTATAATTTAATAGAATTATGTTGAAAACATAGTATTTAAACGCACCAATACTTTAATATAACATGACATATCTCTGAAAACAAGTCTTACTGCCTGACATCAGGCATGTTACTTTATTTTTTTAATTTGGATGTTTTCCATGACAAAACCAAGCCATGCCCTTACTTTGAAAATTATCATGGTTAACCAAAGATTCTTTAAACTATCTTAAGATATTTTCACAGATTTAAAACAAAAGATTGTAGATTTGCAAAATGAATCTTCACCAATGAAGAAGAATGTTAATCTCTATATGAGAGATATTTGGGTACCATTTGCCTCATGGATCATTAATCTAACACAGAAAGATGGTTATTTACCTCAGGTTAGAAGTTTAATTTTGAAATTTCGTTTTCTGTGGCAATATTGGTAACACAAATGACCACAAACCAAATCATAAAATAATTGAAATTCTTATAACTTTGAGAAAACTAATAGCTCTCTTTTAGGATACCAAACAGAATTTTTCTACCTTTGTTTCTTAGAAATTTTTCCAAAATATTTATCTTTCCATTTTCGTGTGTGTGTGTGTGTGTGTGTGTGTGTGTGTGTGTGTGTGGTACTCAAATAATGAAAAAGCAAGCCTCCTGAAAAATTAAGATATTTGTACTTATTTTTTGTACCTGTTCATTTGCTTTCTCTCATAACCGTCATACATTTTAAATTTGATGAAATGAAAGAAAGTAGATTGGGAATGTTAACAATTATTGATCACTAACAAGGCAGTAGGGGAATAGGAACATAGTTAATCCAATAATACTTCAATATTTTAGTGGTGGGGAGAATTAGGGCTGTTTCTGTGTCTTATTAAGGAAGCATGTTTTTTCTCTTTTTAATGTGGAGGTGCCCATGATTTGGTATTTTTTCATTTTGATATATATTATATAGTTTCAGGAGAACTTATTTGTATCTGCCTTGTTTTCTCAGATTGAGTCTGACCTTAGTTTTTGTTTTAGGAGTGGGACATGAGTGTTTTTGCTTTTTTCACTTTTGAATATGCTGTTTCATCCTGGCAAAACCACTTCGCTAGTTTGCTTTTTGTTTTTTTTGGTTTTTGTTTGCTTGATTTTGATCTTCTTTTGCTTTTTGGTAGTTTTATCCTAAGTGCAGACCTAAAATTTATTTTTGCCTACAAACAGTGACCTTTTATTCTTCCATAAGAGTGACAGAGCTTTGCCCATTGATCTCCATTGTGTGAAAATAAATATATCCCATAAAAATTAACAATATTCTAAATGAAGACTATCTTCTTTATAGTTATGCTTGGTAGATTTATTAATCGATGTATATTGACTGCCTACTCAGTCAGTAGGTAGTCTGACATACCTAGTATCAGGCACTGTGCAAGGTATGTCTACAGAAAAAGTATTGTTTGTAAACAAATCAAGTCAAGTAAGTCAAAACCTTTCTAAAATTATGAAGACATCCTCTGATAACTTACCTGTTATATTTCTTAGTCTAAAAATCAAGAAACCTATATTAAAGGCCATAGAGCTATTATGAGGTCCCTATGGCACTAATGGAGCCCTGGTGGCACAGTGGCTAAGAGCCCAGGCTGCTAACCAAAAGGTAGGCAGTTTGAATCCACCAGCTGCTCCTTGGAAACCCTATGGGGGAGTTCTACTCTGTCCTTTAGGATCGTGGAGTCCTGGTGGTGTACTAGTTAAGAGTTTGGCTGCTAACCAAAAGGTTGGCAGTTTGAATCCACCAGCCACTCCCTGGAATCCCTATGGGCAGTTCTGCTCTGTCCTATAGGGTCACTATGAGTTGGAATCGACTTGGCGGCAACGGGTTTGTTCTGGTTTTTGGTTTTATGGCACTAAAGGAAAGGTTGACATAGTGCCTTTCAGCTAGAGAAAGAAGTAATGTTTAATGGGCCTGTATTTAAAACGAAATGGGGAGAAGTGCACACATTTACTGTAAAGTTAATGTCTAATTCACAGTGGCGATTGTCGTTTAAACCTTTGCCAAAGCCAGGGTTTATGAATATATTTTTTAATAGAAATTTCTGTTTGTATTTTCTGAAAAAGTGTTCAGTGAGGAAACTTCATTTACAATATTATATAAATTCAAAATTCTGTATTTAAAAACTTGCTTATACTTCTTCCCCAGCCAAGATATATTGATACCCATTTTAAAACAAAATGGGAAAATATCCAATATAATATTCTCCTTCTTTTGGAGGCTTCCTACAGGTAAAAGCAGATTTTATGTCAGCAGATTTATTTGGCCTTTGCTTGTCTCTAGTATATTTCTTTATGTACTTTTTAGATAAATGTTAGTACTATAGATTTATTGCCTTGGATTTGTAAGTATGCCAATTGAGAGACCTAAGATGGTCATAGTGTTGTTTATCAGAAAGAGGAAGTGTACTTAAGAAAATTTTATTTATTAAGATATGAAAGGCTTCTACATAAATGCACTGAAGTAAATGTTAGTAATTTCTTGTACTGTCATGATTTTTTGTTTTTTTTGCTTCTCATGGAAATGTTTGTACTTTTTTATCATTGTCTTTTATGAAATATAATGTTCTAAAGACTCCGTGTATGATGTAATTATTTTCTCTCAAGAACTTTTTTGGGTTATCTAGGGTTTCTTTGTTTGCTTTTTTGTGTGTTTTTCTAAATTTCTAATGAATTGTTGATGAGTGCCTTGGTGGACACTAAGGTTGCAACGTACGTATAAGGCAACAACGTCTGCTTTTTCAGCAGTTTTAGTTCAGTACACTTAGAGATCACCTCACAAAAGAAATACTCTAGTTAAATATTTTTCATTAATACAGTTAGTAATCTATTGTATCAAAAGGAGTGTTTAAGAATTCAATTTTAGCATAAATTTTCTTTTCCCTGCACAACTTCAATAAACTAAGCTGGTGCGTTACGGTCAATTCACTTCTTATTTTTCAGGTACCAAGTAATGTTGAAGATGTTTAAGGCAAACAGTCAAATTTCAAAAATACCTAGGTTATGTGTTTTCAGTATTTGGGACTAGATTGTGAGATCTTGACATTTATCAACTTAAATTATTTGTGTAATGGATTCTAAGTATTATTGTACATAGTATGATGATCTGCAGGAACATTGTCAGTTTATATCACAAAGCCAATCAGGATCATAAAATTTAGTCAGTTTAGTCTGCCCCAGTTTCCTACCTGTGGTATTAATGTGTCTTCGGATGAAACATGTTAACTCAATTTAGTGATCTTACATATTGTGTGCTCCATCTTTAAACACATGGATACAAGACTCTGGAGATACTTCTAGACCAAAATTATTTTATGTAGAGAAGGTTGTTCTTAAGGAGCACGTACTGCATTGCTCTTGATTTATGTGACTTCAGAAAAGATAGTGATTTATCACTCAGCTATATGTCAATTAAAAGAAAGATATATGGGTTGAAAAATAAAACTTATATCTTTCTCAACAGTTTCCTTCAACATAATTGGTGGTTCTAAATTTCATTGCTAGCTTAACCTCCCCAATTCTGTCAGTTTCAACTTTGTATTCTAGAGGATCCCAGACAGGGTCAGACCCGATCTGCCCTCAAAGAGTGTACTGTCTTTTCCATGTAAAACTGATACAGTGGAAAAAACTGAACAGTCACATACAGTACAATGAGGTGCTTAATTGTGTCCTATGCAAACATTGGTTTTATATTTCACTAATATAATGTTGGGCTAATAGAGATCTTTGTAGGAGGAGCCTTTCCCCGGGCACAGGATAACAGCTCTAACAATTACACTTGAGAAGGGTAATTGAGATCATTGTTTTTCTGCACTGGGGTTTAAGGCTTTGCAGTTAATTTTTAGGAGAGTTGGACCCCTGGTGACACAGTGGTTAAGAGTTCGGCTGCTAACCAAAAGGTCAGCAGTTCAAATCCACCAGCAGCTCCTTTGAAACCCTATGGGGCAGTTCTACTCTGTCGTGTAGGGTCACTGTGAGCTGGAATCAACTCGACGGCAATGAGTTTGGTTGGTTTTGGTTTAGGAGGGTTGAATGGAAGATGGTGGTTATAAGCAAACTGAAATCTGACTGATCTGAGTTTGAGCTGTGATACTTTAGCAAATCTTTAAACCCCTGTGATCCTCAGTTTCCTGATCTCTCAAGGAAATTACTCAAGGATTGTTAAAATAATTAATCCAACCCTAATAGAGCATTTAGTGCAGTGCCTGACATACTGAACAAAAACTTAGCTCATTTTAAGTCAGTTTTCAATTTTAGATTAGCAACATTTTATTTGTTGCCAATTGCCTGAGCTCATATTTCAAGAGTGATATTTTATTCATTAATTCTAGTAGGAAATTAAGTCAGTGATACCCTATATGTGGAGCCCTAGTGGTATAGTGGTTAAGAGCTCGGCTGCTAACTAAAAGGTCAGCAGTTTGAATCCACCAGGAGCTCTGACAATACCAAACTGACGGCCGTGGAGTTGATTCCAACTCCTAGCCACCCTACAGGACAGAGTAGAACTGCCCCACCATGTTTCCAAGGCTGTAAATCTTTACAGAAGCAGACTGCCACATCTTTCTTCCATGGAGAGGCTGGTGGGTATGAACTGCCAACCTTTCGATTAGAAGCCAAGTGCTTTAACCACTGTGCCACCACTGCTCCTTATATGCGATAATATATGTAAACAATTGGTAAAAGTACACAATTCAAATAGGCAGTAGTAGTACTGAGATGAAATGTAGCCAATAGGA